TACATATTCTAAAACATTTATAGTAGAAGTTTATCAGAGCAATTGTATCTGGTTAATATGAAATAAATATTAAATCATGCAAATCCCTGCATTTCATAGTAAAATTATTTGGTATTTTAAAATATGAACCATTTTTGCCTGCTTTGGGTGTGTGTATTGTTTTCTATTAGTAATCTACTGCTTCTGCATGAACTTTCTTGAAGGAGATGATTTTTCTGTGGTATTTACATGATGAATAGATTGGTAGGGTTAAAAAGCTGTGGTGCTTCCTTTCTATGACACCTGCATACATTTTTTGAACAAGCTCATAGCTTTCTTGTAGTTGTGCCTCTTATGGAAATATTTATCTTTGCTGAGGATAAGTGCAAGCCACAAGGCACAAAAAGTCCTTTTCCTTCTGTGCATCCTCAAGCGGAGAACTGCTTTCTTCCATATAGCCCAACCATGAACCCCAGCCCACCTTAACTGAGTAGTTTCACCCATATTATAAGACTAATAAAAAATTAAATTTTGCAATGAAAAACAAAAGTTCCATAAAATTTTTCACTCCTGCCCAATTAAAAAGCAAACCCACTAAATGAACTTCCTCTCTCCCTTCCCAAACATTTGTAGAGTACCCGAGATGTGCCAGGCAGCGCACCGGGTCTTCTCCCTCACATCTGCTGGAGGTTACAGTGCAGCCTGTGCTCAGTCCTGAGGCTGCATCTTTTGGAGATTTTTTTCCTTTGAGAGGCTTTGTTTCCTAAAGCAGGGGAAGTGGGTGGAGCCTTCATGGGATCTGGGGATGAGGAAGACATGGATGTCTTTGGGGGACATTATTCTACCCACCATATTTATGTAACTGAATGTCAGAAAGTGTGGGAAATTCATCAAGAGATTTACAGAGCAGTGTGAACAGAGTATAATGACATCTAATGTGGGAACGGCCCTGATTCTGTCGCATTCCCCAGGATTGGCCCCAGGAGTGGCTGGATCATAGAATCAGGTGGGGCACACAAGGCTGTGCATGGATTAGCTACTTACCGTCTCTCATTTCGTTTTCTGGATGGAACTGAATTTCTAACCACTTGCTGTCTTTTTTCTGGCTGCATTTACTGGCCCCTTGAGCTCAATGTGTCCCAGATGGAGTTCTTGGCTTCCCTTCTGAATCGGCTGATTTCCTCATCCCTGGGTGTGTTAAAAGGCTTCTCATCCTCTTAGAGCCAGATTTCAACCTCATCCTGTGCTTCATCTCATATATCAATTATTTGCTAAGTCCTAGGGATCCCATTTCCGTGAGAGCTTTAACATGCATCCTTTCTTCCTTGTTTCTGGAGCTATTCTCTTACTTCAGAGCCTTAGATTCTTTTCTTAGATTATGAAACCGTCTTCCTAAGTCATCCCTGCCCAGCCACATGGTACTCTTCTACCGTAGTCATTTTAACAGACTCCTCCACATCCATACTCTTATTAATTGTCCTAATCACTGTGAGTTTAGGCGAGCCAACGGGCAGGCCAGAAGGCAGAAGTTCTAGGCCACAACCTGTAAGAGATAGGTCACGAGATTGGAGCCCTCATGGATGGGATTGGCACCCAAATAAAGGGATCTGAGGGGAGTGGATTTTCTCTCCTTTGTTCTTATGACTACTGGCTGGTTGAACATGGCTCAAGACACCTCCTGAGAAGCACAGACCAGGCCCGCACCACCCAGGCTGTTGGTGTGTGTGTGTCTTAGGTCCTCAATGGCTTTCAGAACTGTGAGACATAAATTTCTATTGCTTATAAAGTACCTGGTCTCAGATATCTTGTTGCAGCTGTATAGAATGAGTAAGACACTAATTACAGAGGATTTGCCAAAACATCAGTCACGTGCCGATAGTGATATTTCCACCAACGGTGGGTCACATGTCAGAGATATCACAAGATTATGCAGGTGATGAAAATTCCGATCACCTAGTGATGTCAGAGCCATTGTAATGTCAGTGTGAAATACATTACTGAAATGCATTATTGTAAACAAACCCTTAGCACCTGTAATTTGTGTCCTACATAATACTTGATAATAAATGATGTTATAAATGTATGTGTTTACTATACCATGCTTTTTATCATTATTTTATTTTTATTTATTTATTTTTTAATTTAAGGAGAAAAGAAAAAAAAGTGAAAGGGTACAAGTTATACAGATTTACAGAAGAAAAAAATGAACAGTAGGAAATCACTAGTTAATGGATTACATATTGCCATCTTAGAAATAATTGTTCAAGTCACAAAATTAAAGCTTGTAGAGTGGACATTCCAACAATGATACTGCAAACAGTTCTGTTCAATGATCCAATAAAACTCTGTGATATCATTTTCTATCTTATACACTTGAATATACATGCAGTTATATAGTTTAGAGCACTTTCTTTTCCTCTCTTTTGTACAATGACTATTACACATTTTGGGTTTCATTGCTCCCACGGTTCTTATAGCTTTTTTGGAAGAGAGTAAAACCAAATGAGACATAACAGAACAGAATCGGTCAAGTCAAAAGGGTGGACATAATAGATAATATAAAAACATAATACAAGGTGATCAACAATGGTTAACATAATGCCTCCCGCTATCTCTAATAGAATTGCCTATATCATTAGTTATAATACAATTGAACAAAATAGTAAAGAACAAAACCGACAAAACCAAAACATTGGAGACATTGTAGGTCTTCAAAAGTAGATAAAAGTCAACGAGAATGGGCGTTATAATATCATTATTTTAGATTGAATTCCTTCTACTTACAAAAAAAAAAAAAGTAGCTTACCATGTTATGTTACCCTAGCAGCAGCTTTATACACCTCCTGTCTCCTTAGTGTGTTGATGGCCACAGGAGGTCACATCAAATGACCGACGTGTGCAGGGAAGGTCAGTACAGAAGTCCCCCGTACTGGTTAGTGCTCTTTTGACTGTTAGTGATCTTAATGAAGGGCGTTAAGATGTAACATAACAACATCTTCAGTAGTCCGTGTTTGAAACTTACAACCTTGCCCCATGTCTCCGGCTCTCTCCTCCCATGGTGTCTGCCATCTTGCTTGCTGACGGTGGGAGAGGTTTTCCATTTTGTCTTCCATTGTCAGGGTGCCACAGACGGGTGTCTCATTACTCTAAGAATTATATAGATTGTTCAGCAATTGGCTGGTTTTCCAAGTGCGAGGGAAAGTGGATTTCCCACCACTTCTCTGCAGATACTTCATTGTTTTAAGTTTATACTTTTGCTTGTTGGTGCTTCCTCTACCTGGCCCATCTTAGTCTCGTTGGGAGTTATCAGCCTGGTAAGAGCCAGCTGAGATGCCACTCAGGGAGGACTCCCTGGCTCCTTCTTGGTTTCCCAGAGTGGCTCAGTCTCTGCCTTATTGGTGTCCACATTTGGATATTGCTGTCTCCTTGCACGAGTATCACACTGCCCTGAATGAAGGCTCCCAGCGCTTCAGGATTGGCACATATCATTACATGGTGGACTTTCTCCTTTTCCTCCAAGTCCTACCTTTTTTTCCCTTCATCACCACCATGTCTTTGCTCTTGTTCTGCATTGTTTATGGGTTGCTAGTTACAAAAACACTTCCTGACTGGCCACTCAATAATGTTCTACTGTTAGTACAAAGGTTAACACCAGCTCACATTTATTTATTGGGCATTCTAAGCATTTTCCTTGTATAGGCTTTAAAGTTCTTTGTTATTCTGCTAGGGACTAAACTTCACCCTGGTGGGGAGGCCAGGGTACTGTCCTGTTATGATCCCACCCTGGAAGAGTAAATTCTGTAGTGAAATACAAGTTGGTAGATACAGTTACAAAAAGAGTACTAAATATTTGTTATCCTTTTAGTGCAATGATATGTTTTTATCTTCTTCATGGGCTTAAATTGTGGTGTCATGCTTCAGGTAATTTAAGCCAGAAGAACAAATTGGTATAGACAGCTGTATTTAAATTTCAGTTTACTAGAGGAAGCCTCGAGAGAATTTCAGAAATATGAGTGTTAGCATAAAAAACAAACAAAAATCCCAGAAACAAACAAAAAAGAAAGTTTTTTTTTTTCAAAAAAAATAAGCTGGAAAAGAGAAGGTAAGTCATGAGAATTCTTGGCCAGGAAGGACAACTTTTCTTCCAGGTAGCTGTGACACGGGTTACTCTAGCCGAGGATGGAAGCAGTTGGCAGACGAGAGCTTCTGGGACAGCACAGGTGTGTGTGTGTGTGTGTGTGTGTGTGTGTGTGTGTGTGTGTGTGCGTGTGTGATGTGGTAAGGAGGGAGTGCGGTTCTCAGGGCCTGGGCTCACAGTTTAGACACTGCTCCCCGGCTGTTGGTCTTGGTCAAGTTACCTTCCTTCCCTCGGGATCATTTCCTTATGCATAAGATGGGGGTCAAATGATTAAGCTTAGCAAGTAACAGTATAGGATGCCCAGTTAAACGTGGGTTTCAGTTAAACAATAATGTGATAGTATAAATATGCTCCATGAAATATTGACATCCCACGTAAAAAGTTTCTACCCAGTGTTTTACCTGGCAACCCTAAATGTGTGTGTTATAATTATATCGCAGGAGTGTTGTGAAGATAACACAATATTACAGTTAAGTGTAGCCATTGGTGAAATTTTTAAGTGATGTATAGTCAAACACCAATGGATGTTATTCATATTCTAGTCAATAAAAGTCTTTAAATGGCAATTTTCCATGCAAGGAGTCTGTAGGGAAAAGTTTCTGACTCTAACTAGACTAAAGTGAATTATAATCAAGGTATAGGAATATGCTTTAGATATGATGATTTGGAGAAAGGAAGAGAATTAGTATATTATTTATATGAATAAAATACTTGGGAGGTTTCCTAAGAGTTTGTCCCCTAGAGTAGTATCTTTACATTATTTTCAATATGTGCTATTTAAATAGACCTGTTTGTGGGTTTAGGTGTTTGTTTTCTTTATTTTGTTTTGAAACTGACTGAAAATGTTTTACTTTTTTTTTTCTTTTCGTTTTTATCGTACCAGGGATGGAAGCATTTGCGCGGGAGCGCGAAAGTGATGGGAGGGTCTTGACTGCCCCCTGGTGGCGCTATCCTTTAACTGCGACACGCCCGTGATGGGCCCTGTAAGAAAGGGAGCATCAGAGCTCCGTGCGGTGACCTAAGAGCCTGGAGCAAGCGTCCCTTTCCACCACCCTTCTCCTTCTCAAGCTTGAGAATTTGCAGCTGGCTCGCGGAGGTGGAGCAGGGGTCGTTCCGTCCTCCGGGTACTGGGGTTTCTGAGCCTGAAGAGACGCAGCGGAGAGAGCAGCTGCAGCAGAGTGCGCGGCCACGGGCTGCGCCTTCAGAGACCAAGTCTTTGCTTAGTGGCTGAGAGTGGCTGAAAAGTCCTTGGTGTGGCTTGGCTTTCACCCAGACTGCGGGGACAGGACACACCTAGAGAGCGGGGCTGAGGGACAAAGAAAGAGGAAGAAGCCTTTCACTTGTGTCGCATTGCATGCTGCTCACTAAATAAATATTTTTCAAATGCATGAAACTATCGCGCGGTGGAAACCAGGGGGGAAGGGACACACGGAGACTGATCCAGGACGGGCAAATGGAATTGCTTTGGATCCTTGCGTCTCTTACACATGAACAAACTGAGGTCAGAACCCAGGCACAGCGAGTCCAGAGAAACTTATAAGCTGAGTCAGTTCTAGGATTCCTAGTCATTTCTGTGTGTGCAGTGGTGCTGAGGACTGAATCCAGGACCTCGTACCTGTTAGGGAAGCGCCCTCCCACTGAGCTATACTCTCAGCCCTTTTTATTTCATTCTGAGACAGAATCTCTGTAAGATGCCTAGGCTGGCCTTGCATTGGCAACTTTCCTGCCTCAGCCTCCTGAGAAGGTGGGATTAAGATCCTGGGACCAGCAAACTCGGCAACGTCTCCTCTATTAAAAGAAAACTATAACAAATTCTGATGTCCATCACAGCAGGTACCTAAGTGAAATCTGGTCCTGGCCCTGACCCCAGAAGGGGGCTGCTTCCTTTCATCCTTTTTGTGTCTCGGCAATCTGTCAGCCTGGTCCCTAGGCTCCCCACTCCTCTCTCTCCCATGATCCCTCAGTTTCAGTCATGCCTGTGCCCTGAGTGCTGCCTGGCAGCCGCTGCTGCAGGTGGGGAGGTGACCGCTATAGGCCAGCGAGGCCCAGGGAGCAGGGGCTGACCCGTCCGAGGTTCTTACACTTCTGTGAGAAAGTGGCAGGACCTGGTGCAAGCCTGCGTCTTTGACTCCTTCTATTTCCTCTCTGCCTTCAAGTTTTGGCTTCCCATTTTGGACTGCGATTTTTATTTTTATTTCTTTTTTTTAAGTGTGAAGGTTTCCAAGACGCCTACAGATCCCTGACAGCTGTGTTCATTGAAATGACTAATGAAAGAGACTTGTGCTACGGGTGGGACTTTCACAAGTGGCACAGTGACACTGTTGGTGCCAGTTGGCAGGATATGATCCTGGGCATTTACATACTGGATGTCACCCCAAAAGCCCCTGACCAGGGGATTTCTGGGGTGTTTAAGAATTCTGCTCTGATCCTCCGAAGGTGCATGGCGTGAGAACTTCAGGTGCAGGGCAGGGGTATCACTGCAGCCACCCCCTCCCTCGGTGAGCAGGGTCTCTCCTCCCAGGCAGACACCCAATTCAGGCACAGATTCACTGGTGCTGGGGACAGCTCAGAGCAATAGCTCTGCAACCTGCTCGCTCCTGATGGAGGTGCTGGGGGTACCTAGATGGGGGAGTCAGGCCCCCTGCACACCTGAACTGGATTCTTGGGAAGGCAAGGGACACAAACTCTGAGAATTTCTGTCCTTGGTTCACATTCTGTGCCACAGGTGTGAAGCAGGCTCTCTGGGAGCTCAGAACTGGAGTGGCCACTTGGGGCTGGCCAGGAGCTCAGAGTGATGGAGCGGCATCTTCAATGCTGTGTTAGTTGGCTTTCCATTGCTGTGACAACATGCCCTCGGGAAGTCAATGAAAAGAGGAAAGGTTTATTTTGGCTCTTGGTTTCAGAGGCTTCAGTCCATGGTCCCTTGGCCAGATAGATTGTGGGCCTGTGGAAACATTTGGCAGGGGAAAGCTGCTCACCTCATGGCTGGGAGAAGCACAGAGAGACCATGTAGGGCCCCCTCTCCCTTTGAAGTCCTGCCCCAGGAACCTGGCCCCTCCCGCTTGGCCACACCACCTAAACATCTCCCCACCTCCAGATAGCACCACCAGCTGGGGACCAAGACTCCAACATATGAGTTTCTGGGGGACATTTAAGAACCAAATCATTCTTAGAAAGTGTTCTCTCCCTGATTTTGAAGGTGAGACATTTCACTGCAAATAATTAAAATTTTACAGGAATATGTTTTCTTTTCAGTTTGGGGGAAAAAGAGAAAGAAAACTTCATGAGTCAAATTTTGAATCAGTCGGTGCTTGTAACCTTCCTCCGGCAGAGCACAAAGGGAACGGGTTAGAGAGAAGAGTCTGTGGGGAGGCTTTATCTCTCCGACCAGAAACTCTGTGTTTTAACGGCAGCCAGTGTGAGACATCAGGTGCCTGGGCACCTGCCCTCTGTGGGTCTCTTGCTTTCTCCAGCTTGCTGTTTTAGGTTTTGGTCTTGATTACTGCTGTTTGAAATATCATCTCTGCTCATTCTTCCAAGAGGTTTAAAAGATGTTTTCTTAATTGACGCCTCCCCAAAGAATCCTAGGTCCAGTTCTAAGATGTGAACTATGTTTAACATGCTAGAGAGCCCACAAGAGCTCCCATGTATGGAGGACTTTCCTTGAACCAGGTGTGTGCTCAGAACTTTACATTTGTTCATCTTGATATCAAACCTCACAACAACTGTATGAGTAGTTACTTTATTATTCCCGTTTTGAGATAGAAGCAACCTAAGGTTGTTTTTTGCTTAATCCACGTAGCCAATAGTTGGCCAGGGCTGGCCTCCCACCCACATCACCCGGACTCTTGTCTGTGCTCACGAATGTAGTACTCCTCTGTTTTATTTTTTGAGCATATTTGGCCACAGAAGCATTTCTTAATGAACCATCCCATCTTTCCCAGCACTGTTACTAGCATTTCATGGAACCCAATATGGGAAATGCTTCCTTAGGGAAATGCATTGCCCTTTCTATAAACTAGAGATAATAACATAATATTGCCGTTGCGATCTTCAAAGAGGATTTAGGTAATGAGTACCAAGGATACTTGCCTTCTACCAGCAACATGGGTGCTTCAAAGACAACATTTGCAACATCTTTAATAGCAGGAGTCCCAGTGAGGATGATGGTTGCTCAGGTCCTGCAGGGGGCCCTGTATGCTGCCTCTTGCTCTGGTCCCCACTGTGATCTCCTCCTTTCGTCTGGCTCCCATTCTGGCCTTCATCCCCCTGCAGTGCTTGTCTTCCTTCCAGGAATAATGCTTTAGTGACCTGTTTCTGGGCCCGGGCCTTGCTTTGTCAGTGGCCAGAGCCCATCTCGGAATTTGGGATGTCCTCGAACTGCCCACAGCTCCACTGCCACCCTCCCTCCATCACATCTCATCAATAGATCATTGCCTTGGAGAGATGGCCCAGCCTAGAAGATGCCTGTGCTGCCTATAGCTCCTTGGATCTTTTTTTTGGACAGTTTGCCAACCCCCAGATGGGCTAGTGTTTCTCCTTGGTTAGCTCCGATCTTCTCCCAGGACCCTCCTCTGCTCCATCAGTGTGTGGCAGACCTGCCATCGAATGGTGACATTTCTTTTCCCCAAGATCCAGTTTTACACAGCTGTCATTTGTCTTTCAAAATTTCCGCAGTCCCAAAGATGTGTACATTGAGAAGAAACACACTCTGAGCAGAACAGACAAAAGTGGGCCCTCGAGCTGCCTGGAAAGAGATTGGCGTTCTTTTCACTGGACATCACGGGTGTTCTCACGTGCATCCTTACTCTCCTTTCACCCGTGGAAACGTCACAGCGGGTTAGCCCAGCCTCACACAGTGAAGCATAGCGAGGCCAGGCCAGAGCAATTACCCTGACTTTGTCCCTCTGCTGTGGGATCCTCAGCCTTGGGGCTGTCAAGGCTGGGGCTCTTTGCTACTGGGGTGGCCCAAAGAGACAGATTAAGGGTGTTCTACTTAAGTTTGAGATGTGTGGGGCCTGTTTTCCTTCCTCTACCCTCTTCCACTCTTCTGTTCCTAACGCGGATCCCCTGCCACTCTCCTGGGCTCCCAGGTGCCCTGTGTGTGACTTTTCTGCTCTCACCCAGCCACCGATGCACTTCTCAACCACAAGTTGGAGAGATCCTGGACAGGAAATGTGGGGTGTAGTCTTTCCTCAATGAACTGGAGAGGAAAAGTTATTCTGACACTTGTTACAAATGGCAGTAAAGGCTTTGTTTAGTGCTACTGCAATAGAGCCAAGTTTATTGCAATAGGTGAGAGATTGAACTCAACGCCAAGCACAAAAGGAATGAATGGGGATTAGAGCCAAAGGGCAGGGTGAGAGAGTGGGTGGAAAGTTACCAAGAGGAATGTGCGTAACTGTGGCGTGGAGCAGAGGAGCTTGATTGGGTACCAGGATGGGGATTCTCAATAAACCGAATGAGCAGGATTTATTGCTGAAACTGGGCTCAGTGGGCCAAGGGTCAGGCCTGGTTTAGAAGAGAGTTCTGAGGAGACAGACTCAAGTCAAGGAGGAAGTGGTCAGCACTGATGAAGCAGTGACAGTCTCAGGACCCAAATTCAGAATGAGGCAAGGTAGCCGTGTGGCAGCCGTGCAGCTGGATGGAGCTCAGAGGGGACCTAGTGAGAGCGTCTGGGCCACTCCAGCCTCTGGCTTAGCACTGACCTTTGGACAGCCACCCTGGCTTTATCTCCTGTTCACTTACAAACTGTGACATCCACATACAACTTCTAGTATTTTGAAAACTGGATTTTTAGGTATTTGATACTTTCTATTATAAGCAGAAGTAGGAAGCATAAAGGCTTTATTTTGATCCTAAAAAAAGGATTTTGACTTCATGATTCTTTTCTGTAATACTGAGACAATATCATTATGGATTGCACTGTTTCACCCTGCAAATTTGTATGTGGAAATCTTAACCCCTGATATATGTATACGTGAAGATAAGATCTCTGAGGAAGTAGCTGAGATTAAATGAGGTAATGTAAGCATGGCCTTCTAATCTAGCAGGCCAGTGTCCTTATGTGAAGCATCATCAGCAACTTGTTCCGTGATCTACAGAGGAAAGACCACATGAAGACATGGTGGGGAGGTGACTGCTGTAAGCCGTAATTGAAATCTCTGTCCTGCTGATCTTAAACTTCTTGCTTCCAAAATTATGAGAAAATAACTTTTTGTTGTTAAACCCCCTAGGCTGTGGCACTTCTTAAAACAGCAGCCTAAGCAGACTAACATGATACCTGGCTTGTGAGTCTCTTAAGAGATTTGCGCATTTGTATAAAACACCTTCCCACGGCACTG